TCACAAGAAAAATAAATACTTAAAAATTGAATCAAAAACTGAATTTTTGTTAAATGCGTGCAGTTTCATAGCTAATCGATGAAAAGAAAGGACTGTGAACAGGATGAGAATTCTTTAACTGCTTGGTTAATAATGTCAGGTGAAAAGCCTCTGTGTAACTGCTTTTAAGTAATTTAGCTCTTACTGAAGAGCTGATTTAGAGGAGCCAACACGAAGTGCTCGAAAAATGAAGGAATAAAAGGAAGCTAAATTCCTTTTAATCGAATGATTATGATCTGAAGTGTGGTGGAAGGAAAACAGATGAAGATTTACAGCAGTGGTCTTCAAACTGTGTTTCGTGGCACCGAGGAGTTCCGCGAGGTTATTATTATTGCCTGAGCACAGGTTTCATTTTCGTTATTTGCATTTCTGCAACTGAAGAAGAAGGTTCTGTATTTAAACCATCGAAATTAGTGTTGCAAATTTACGAACATTACACTGATTATTGTTGCCTTAACTCCTCCAATAATCGTTATTCGACGTGGTATTTTAACTGCGATTCATAATACATGTTAATTGCTGTAATTTCTTTAAAAGTTTGATTTTCGGATATTATTGTGATGACCGATGCTCTGTGTTTTTATAAGTTTTTCCTTCAATTTTTTAATTTATATATTAATGGTTTATTCTACTTACAATTTTGTACGAAGCTGGGCTTGTATAAGAAATATTCTGAAATTGTGTTTAATTATGCTACAAGAATAAGTAATGTCTTTAAGCTGTGCTTTAAAAATGAACATGCTTTAAACTTACGCTTTCAAAAGGCTAGTAATAACATCATATATCTCAAGTAATAACATTAAATATTAATAAAACACGGAAAATTTTATTCTGGAATGACTTGCCTACTCTGCCGCTGCTTGATTAGAAAGTTCAAATACTGATAAAATACTGAAACTGGCATTCTAATGTGACTTAGCTACCATACCTTTACTCGAGTACTTACTTATGTTAAATATGATTAAGATACTGAAAATGGCGTTTAAAAATTATTTAGTTACCACAGCGCTACTTGAATGCTGATGTTGAGAAATAAATAAAATACTGAAACTGGTGTTCTAAAATGATTGAATTACCATACAAATACTTAATTATTAAATATTTGTAAATCTTGAAGACAGGGTTATAACAGTTGGTGTTACTGATTGGGTCATAAAATACTGAAGACGATATTGATGAAGATGTTTACTCAAGCAACTATTTTCGATTTTTTTACTATATATCTATGCTTTGTACAATAATGAAATTAAATGCATTTTTTTTTCGAGGAACTTTTGGTGAATCAATAATTAGCATATCGACCATACGCAATAAAGATTCCTTTTTTGATTCTTGGTGTATATACATGTCTTCTTTTATCTATGATAATTCTCAGCTGCTAAATTTACTAATGTAAACTAATACTTAATTAAGCTTAAGTTAATATTGTTAAGCTAGGTTTCGGAAATGAATTTGCTATACATTTCTGCATTTTTAGGTCTTTCATGTGTTGCTTCTTATAATTTATTTTTGTTTCATTCTGTAATATTCACCACTTGATTATAAGAATGAAATTTTTTATTAAGCTACTGTAAATTGTATCTCTTTTGCTTTTACCCAACCGTTTTGGGTTCTAATCACGCCACCAACACGAAATAGAAGTCGCTTTGCTCCAAATTGGCTGTAAATCAATATAAAATAATGGCTTTCTTTTATCTATTTACAAAATATCACGTATGTATCTACTACATCGTATCAGAAAATGAAATGCCGATGCCGATGGTTCAATGCCGAGCTATTACAGTGCAATTGACTGTTAAAACAATGTTTGAAAATCAATTTAAAATCTACGTAAACACCATTATGCCACTACTTCAGATATGAATATTACGAAAAATATGAATGAGAAGAAATCTGAATTTATTGAATTATTTTTTAAATATAAAATTTTTATCTAGAAAGAAGTTTATAAATTAATTGCATTAAGCATTTATAATAAGAAAAGCCTTTATTAATTCCGGAATTATGAATTATTATTTATCTATATTATATTCGTTTTTAAAGTCTATTAGTATATTTGTTTTCAGTCTCAAATAAACTATATGCTTCTTAGCAAATTGAGTGATTTAAAAATCCATTTTAGTAATTTTTAATTTATATCTTTGTTTTATGTTTAATAATACATTCAACTGATATAGCTAATAATATGTGATGCAGTATATAACTAATAACCTATACGAATATCTAGATGCACTATTACTGAAACTAATGAAAGGTATTTCTAGCATTATATTATGTATCTGGTGGTATATCTAGAACATTATATTATGTATCTGGTGGTTGAATAATATTTTGCTCCTTGCTCGACAAGCATATTTTACTTTCTTGTTAAGCTTTTTTTTTTTTTTTTTTTTTTTTTTATGAGAATGGCAATGTATATGTAACAGATTTAGAGGTTAATTATAGGATCGAAATGAATACAGAAACTGATTTAAAAGACTGGAGGCCTAGGAAAAGCTTCTTATAGAGAGGCCTTATTCTCCTTTGGCTTTCGTTTTTAACATACTAAGTATAAATGAGATGCATTATATAAAGTATTTTGTGAAATAAACTAATAACTCAATATTTTTATTTAAAGTTACCTAAACGAAAAGCATTTTTCACTTTTCACTTCGTTTTTATGGATTTGGTTTATTGTACGTTGCATAAAATATAAGTTTATATATTTTAAATCAGGCTATTGTTTTTCCGAATAAAAGTGGAAAATAAGAAGTAAAAAAATTCTTATTGATTTCAACTTTGCTTAAATTGCTGAGGTAAGAACAAATTTATTTGATTAAATGGTTTATTGCTTTAATAATGCAGCTAAATAAAAATATATAATTAAAAAAATTCAGTTTCTTCATATTTTATGGAAAAAATTCATTCTGACATTTTGTTTTCTATTACTTATGTTTTAAGATTTGCGAAAATATACAACATCTTAAGAGAACCACTTCTCAAGAAGAATGCAAGAGAATGGCCCAATTTTTAAAAAGACTTACGAAAAACTAAAATAAGTTAAGTAAAGCAAGGACAAAATTTTAAAATTTCTTCTGTCTTCTTATTTTATTTTTTAAAATTAATTTTAAACATACCTAGAATGAAAGAGGAAACAAACCTAGAATAAAGAAGTGCACAAAATTCATGTTTTTATTTTATATATATATATATATATTTTTAATTTTTTAAATTTTATATATTTTTATTATAAATAGTATCGAAAGATTTGGAGGTTTTATTGAAACCCAAAGCACATGCCTCTTCTGGCTCTGCATAAATTAGTCCACGATTAAATAAATTTTAAAAAAATTCTGAAAGGTTTCAGATTTTAATGTCACTCAAAAGGGTTTGTTAAGGTTTTTTATGCTCTCGGCTGAGCTCAAAGTCTACCAGCCTGCTGTTAACTCACTCCTACTAAACCATTTTTTTTGGGGGGGGGTGCATTTTAGTTTTATTATTAAGCGTCATTTACTTCACACTTACGTCATATGCAATTCAACATCAAAATTACGAAAATTTTAAAAGCGGCATAGCAGTATACGCTTAGAATTTCTGATGCAGCGTTAAATGTTGGTATACATACTTCTCTTTTTTTCAGTCTTTTCTCAGTTCATTGTATCAATTTTCAGTTTTCTTACTAAGATGGTTTTCAAAACTTTTTTTCACCTTTTTATTATTAGCGTTTTGTGTGTTTACTTCATCTACATGAGATGTCACGTTCTTGGTGCTCACGCCACAAAAACTTCGATTCAACAGCAAAATCATAAAATATTTAAAAACAGCATGTATTTAGAATTTCTGATAAACAGTCTCTTGCATTGGAGATAAAAGTGTTTTTTTCCGTACAGTGTTGTCACTGCTTCCTTTGAAATTATTGAGATTGTCAATCAAAAATTCGTTAAAGTTTCACAAAATATAAAGTAGATAATAAAAAAAATTCAAAATTCGGGCTTCCAAGTGCTTATGTTCAGGTGGAGAACTACGTTATTCAAAACTGGATGTCTCTAGGTACCATTGCATTTTCCGGTACGAGAAGCATACATACATTCAGGTAGATTCTTCATTAATTAATTTCATTATTTATAATACAGGGCGATAATATTTGGTGGTAACAATTTGAAATGTGATGCAAGGCATTTAAGTGTTTCGATGCAAAATGCCGTTTCAAGACTAATATCTTATTCGGGACTCATTTTCCTTTTGGGCTAATAATTAAAACTTAAAATGTCTTTTAATATTGAAAAAATGCTCATAAAACTTTGTCGTGCAAAATTGTCTAAAGTTTGTTTAGAAATGCGTGATGTAAGAAATGTGGGATATGCGATGTAAATGGATCACTTATTATGTACTTAAGAAATGCAGTATCATAATCCTGATATCAGCAAATATAACTGCGTCTAAAAGTAATAACCTAGCTTCCTCTATATAAAGTAAATTGTCTGCACAAAGTGAAATATGTCACCAAATTTTTCAATTTCCTTTATCTAAAATAAGTTAACTGGATTTTACCATTAGAAACAAGAATCCTTTTATAAATATCATCATTTACTTTATTTCCAAAATCAAAATAACTTGCCACGCTGCGTATTATGAATTTTGTTTTTTAAATTGAGGATAAAATCCAGTATGTTATAACTCCATAAACCGGATAGCAGACCAGCAGACGTGGAAACATTTTAGTTTCGGTTCACAGCAAACGCTTGTCAAATATCGTCAAAATGATAAATGGTGTCTAAGCGCTTTAATGCTTACATACTACACATTTGGATAAAAAAAAATAACATATCGAAAGTGATGTGTAAAGGAAGTTACACTTTCCCTTTTTTCCTATATATTTATTACTCTCCACTGTGATACGACTGCATATGAACTATATAAAAGGAAACATCAAGCAAAGCGTGTTATAGAGCACGTAAAACGTCTGCTTTCAACAGAGAAGACAAGAATTCTGTTCATAAGAAAGCACTGAAGTTACATTTTAAATGACTTGGAATGAGGCTAGGAATTTGAACTTATACTCTATTGCAGGTAAGACTTTCATTTGAATCATTTTTCTAAATTTGAAAATAACCAGGTTTCTTTATTGTTTAAAAATATTGTGTTTTCCATTATTTGAATTTAGAATTTCATTTTAAGTTATGTTTTAAGTCTGTTTTCATTTATCTGATGTTTGAAAGCATTGATAAATTAGTTGTACAATTTTTTTAGATTTTAATTAGAGATATTTTTATTGTATATTTCTGTATTACAATATTTTATTATATATTAAAATAAACTTGACAATTTCAATATTGACGAGATACTGATGGATAGAAATTAGGATTATTCGATTATGTAAAGGAATCATATTTACAAATTGCATTGCTTCACGTTTTCCTAGTAAGTGAACATGAAACATCAAACACTGTATCACATGTTTAAAACCAACATGAAACATCCTAAAATTTCAAACATGAAATATCCTATCACTGTATAGCAATTTGTTTGTTACCCTTAAAATAAATAAATTTAGATTTGTATGTGTAGCAGATGTGCAGCAATAGGTCAAAAAGCACGTGCTTATGTCAGTTTTTCCCTCATAAATATTTTGCATTTTATTACACCAACAGTTTTTCCCTCAGAAATATTTTGCATTTTATTATACCAACAGTTATTTTGTTTTATATGAAGGAACTTTAGACTTTTAAATGGAAATTAAAAATACCCATACCTACAAATATTCGCTTGATTCTGCTGTTGACAGAGATTTCTAACTATCACGCTTTCTTGGCAGATTATTTCAACTTAGTTTGCATACTTCAGGGCCCATATAAGTGTACGGATATCTTGTACTGGAGGAGATATATTGTTATATGTAAGAGAGAAATTATAAAAACACGTGTTTTTATGATTATCGAAAAATTACTCTAATTAGTCTTCAGTATGTTACAGAAATTAAATAATACCATTGAGAATCAATAAAGTATTTATTTCAAATGTTACAATTATTTCTTGCTTACACTTTCATATATAAAGATTATAAGTTTCTTCGTATCGGCTTATAATGTTTTCTCTTTTATACTTACAGTTTTATAACTATATATATTTTTACACCCGTATCTTTTCTTTTTAGCTTTTGCTCATATTTTTACATGTCCGAGTAAAAGGTATCCAAAATAAATATTAAAGATACATTTACCGTATATTCCAGCGTATAACACGCTCTTTTAAAACAAAAAAAATAGCATCGAAATTTACTGGTGCGAAATTTTCAGGCATAAAAATGATAGTTTTAAAAATACGAAAACTATAGATATGCAAAAAAATAGATCTCTACATATAACCTAAATGCTGTTTCTGGTGTTTTTGCTGATTTCCTAGGACAATGTTCTCAACACTTCATTTCGTTACTCCTTTATGCAAAGCATATTTATTCTTTGACATATTAATTACGGTGATTTCATTTCTCTTCCACTCGCATGTGGAAGCTTTCACCAACACCAGACAGTTTGGCTGTATACGATTTCCATTTTTTTTTTCAAAACCTGAATGATTTTGCATTGAAAACAGCACTGTGACTGTTTCTTTTGGCAGAAGCCACATTAACTACAAAAAAGAACACAAGAACAGCTGCATTTCAACTAAAGCAAATGCAATTTACTAAAGCCTTTGATGTTCACTTCAAAACTAAAAAAGATAAAACTTCTGAATCCTTATTTCGCGAATTCATTTGGTTCTGAAATACATTCGTATATCAACTTATGCACACCTTCATTGAATATAATCCATCCTCTTTCAGAATTGCTTGCTCCCTCAAGGATTTTCCCTTTCCACACATATTGTTTCCCTTATCACATGTCATTCCAATACATAATTGTTTGAAAGCCTGGGAAAAATCTTGGAATGAATATCTTCAAAAGATAAAAGCATTGCACATGTTATCGTTCAGGTTTCTTAGTTAAGAAAAAGAGGCGCGTTATACGGCGAATATATGTAAAAATTTTTAAATGTAGTTTGGTATTATAGGTGCGTATGAGGGTTTTAAGCCAGAATATACGATACATATAAAACAAAGAATATACATTTGCCTCTGTGTAGAAAGTGCCCAAACTTCTCTGTTGTCTAGTATATTCAGCTGGTGCCATGATTAACACGCAAATCTTAGTCGACCTAACTTACTACTCTAGCTTCTGTACGTGAGATTTTAATTTTATGGAAATCGTAGGTTTTGGTATGATACACAATAGGTTTTTGTTAACCCAAAAGACAAAATTTAGTGAGATTAAATTTGGTAACTGAGAAGACTCTCTAGAAGATTCAGAGTTCCCCAGAAGAGTTCTCAGCACACAATTTGTAGAGTCATTAGATATTTTTAGAAGCAGAAAAATGAGCAAACGCCTTCGCCGGGAATCGCACCACGAAGCTCTGGAATACCGGTCCAGCGTGCAGAACCACTACACCACGAAGGCACGCTAGGAAGGCGGGAGAAATAGCTTATAAGTTTATCAATCTGTTAAGCACTGGAGAATTAACCGAGTACTGAAACCACAAAATGATGATTTTCAATAGTGGAAGTTGTCTTCTGTGTTACAATCCTCAGCGGCATAAATTTTAATTTAACTCACTACGTTGATCGTGGAGTTTCTTCTACAATGTTAAGATTGTTTCTCATCTTGTGTACTAACTTTAGATGGCGCATGTGTGTAAGAGTGTATCATCTGGAGCCCACACGTGAATTGCACATCGGAAAAACCTGTGAAAGAATTACTCTGCAACGAGGCAAAATATGATTCGACCGCCTCAGCCGCGATTATGAGCGCAAACATCCATGCAATCCTTCGGACTGATTTTTTTTTCCTCAAAATAAGGGCAGATGAATACGAATCATACCTTAAGGATTTTGTCCGTTCTTATTTTTTTCCTTGGTTATTTCCAAGTAGTTCAAAAAGCACAGACATAAGAAGACAGAAAATTACTCTTAAGTGATCTAAACTGATATGCTGATAGTCATTTATAATTCGCTGTTTTATTACATTGTGTTTAACTCTGAGCATTTATTTGTTTATATATTCGTAAAAGTATGAGTGTCTTCCAAATAAGTTTTCTATATGTACGTTATTTTAAAATAAAACGTAATAAGTAAATTTTATTTAACTAATAAAATTTACTTATTACTGTAACTGTAACTGTAATTGTAATTTCAAATAAAATAAAAATTACAACATTCTTAGTTTCCGGGCTGCAAATCAGTAAATTAATGCGAATCTTAACATTTATTTCTAAAAATATATTAAAAAAAGGGGGGGGGCGAAAGACAATTGACGACTCCTTTACTGAATGCTATAGGGATTTTCTCTCCCTCGGTCGTATAAAGTCCCTCTTTCCGGCGAAGAGAGGACTTTCACGTAACCTCTCACCACGTAACACGTAATTAACGCCCTTTTTGTACGATCCTACGTGTTTTGGCATAATGCCAACTGAGGTTGCGTTTGGGACAGTCGAACCTATAAAAGAAAGTATACTTTTTGAGATGTGATTTTTATTTTTATTTTTGGACGCCTTTTATTCAGACATCAAAGAAACCCATTAAGAAAATTCACTTAATACTACAAGTTGAATTATAACAGCTGAGTATGATAATGATGCATACTACTTTAACATTTATAGTTATTTACTAAGCACGAGACATAATAACAAACATTGAACAAGACAATAATTTGCCCGGAGTTTAATATTAACCGCTAAGAAATGGGTACGGAATGGTAACAACTGAGTATAATGATGCATTGTATTTTAATACTACTATACAACATCTCCGTTTCGTCCAGAAACCGAATCAAGTATTCATGCTGTGGATGCCTTGCATATTGATGTTATTATTCACTGATATATCAAGTTAAGACCGTTGAGATATTTTGCAATGGACTAGAATAATGTTGCCAAAGAACTCTACTTCTGCCTTTCTATCCTTTATATATCTGCAGAGGCTGATGAGGCTGGTCGACCAATGGAGCCATCCCAATTATTTGCGGCTAATTATCTTCTTCTGTCTTATTCTGAAGACAGAATCTTTGTTTACCCTGCCGGTGGTGGAGCACACCGTTCCCCGTGACACAGTTAATATCAAGGGTAGTCTTTTTCCTCCTGTGCATATTACTGTGGATGGTTGGCATGAAAGACCGAAAAAGGAGACGAAAAGAGAGACAATTATCCTTCCGATTGAACACAAGAAGGAGAAGATCATCACTGTGCCTGTGCCGTAAGTAGATTTAATTATATTTCTAGTTCTGAATTTCTTTATGATAGATAAATATAGGAATATTTAAATTATTTATTATTTGTTAAAAGAACTGTATATGTTCCTGCATATACGGAGAATTTTATGGAAATACGTAAGTACTGATGTTTATGGTTCATTTATCGTAAGAGTTCAAGACGATTTACAAATAATTCGACCGGAGAAATTATGTAAGATAAATAATGAAAAATATTTAATCTTAATATATACTAATAAAGTTTATCAATACCGTTATCCGACTCAAAATTTTCTGGCAATTCTTAGCAGTCTTTCTTTATTAGACGCACGTACAGGCAAATGTCACCATCCTCTATTAACATCATAATTACCTGTGTTTCAGATATAATCATCTTCAGCTGCTCGTAACATTGCTCAGCAAAAGTGATAACTTATTTACAGCTAACAGAAAGTGCAGAGTCTTTTTCCGGGCAGCATATAAGCGTTCTGTACCAAGCCACGCACATAGGAAAAATTCCTTTCTCGTGATTGGATATAGTGATCCCGATCACATCATTTCTTCTACGTTTAGGAATGCTTTGCTTGGGCTCGAGGATATATCTCCATAAGTTTGTTTAAATTTTGATAGCAGTACCAAAAGGATTATTACGTAAGTTGTATTTTTGTTGCTATGAGATTGCACTTCTTACAACACCTTAGTGTGACGAATTTAATATAAAAAAATGTAGTAATTTTTTTTCTTAGAGGGAAAAAGTGTTATTTCTTCTTGTGCTAATTCGGTAAATGTGTATTAAGTACAGAGGTGGTTCATAAATGTATTCTCAATTTAAAACACTTCATATTAAAAGTGTTGTTAGCATTACTTCATTGTTCAATATATATCCATTTTCTGCAGATGCAATCTCCGAAAACATGATTCAAGTCAGTTTTCGGAAGTAACAAAAACGACGTTGGGAGCCCACATTGTACACAGTAAATTCCCAATATTTATAATCAGTCTGAAAAAGTATAATTTATATAAACTAATATAGATTTAGAAATGAGAAATAAAGATACGTATTTAAAACTTAAAAATATTACTTTAGGAATATTGCCCATTTTTTAATGTGTAACATCTTGTATACCTTTGCATAAAATTAGTGTTTATCAGAGAAGGCAGTTTCTTTTTTTTTATACACACACATCAAATTCAGCGACAATACTGAATGCGCTTTTTTCTTTCATTTAAGGCAACAGAATTTTACTTGTGACATGAATGTTAACATGGTAATAACTTCTGGAGAAGAAATATTTTCTACAATGTGAAAGGAACAGAATGAAACAAAACTGCAATAATGACAATATACTTATTGGCACACAATGCCTTTATAATTGGACCCACACCGTCGCGTTTTGGTTTTTGCACTAAATTCATGAACTTAGCTATTTACCAAATCTAAGCGTAAAAGATTGCTTCTGATATTAAGAGCGTCTTTGAAAGATGTTACAGATTTATTATTTCATGAAGCAGGAAGCCATCTGCAGAACGCTGCGGTTGAATTTTTTCGTTTCAAAGAAAATAAACCACAATTTTCCGACTTCCGTGTTACTTGTGCGCGTCATTCAACGAAAACAAAACCATATGAATCCCGCCTAATTGTCACTACTCCAAGAAAAAATGATGTCATCGGAAAGTATGTCCAATCACAAGTACGGATTTTTCCCTATGTGCGTGGCGCGGTACAGAATGCTTATATGCTTTGGGGCATCTTTTACTATACAACAGAAATAAAGGACTGTCAATACAGAACCGAAACAGGCCTCAAATAAATCATAAAAGTGAAGTAGCAATCTGCGTTAGCAGTAGCACAGGTTGTTGATTCGCTTTTACGATAAAGAACCGTATTTGATATTTAAAACTAGGAACTGGCAGCTGCTCTTAGTTTAGTGTAACAGAATATTATTAGCGTTTAGCACAAGTAAGAATTAAAATAAAATTTCCAACTTTATTGCCAAGCGCCAATTGTTCCATGCGAACAATTAGCTCTAAAAGTCTCCTTTCATTTTGTAGCGCCCTCGGTGCTATTTATCGAAAGAAGCTTGTAAAGATTATGTTAATTTTATCGATAGTTAAATTTTGAGTTAAACTTCGTTTCCTATTGCTTCTCAATTTAAACTTACCACTTCCTGCCAGACCGTAGTTTGAGAATCACGTTTGAATGCAAATTGAGGAAAAGAGGTATTTAACCGCGAAATTTTACTGTCTTAGCGGGAGAGAACCAAAGATTCTAGGTAACACGTGTCCGCCTTTTTAGGCTACTCTCTCTTAAGCTATTATTAAGCTTTGCCGTACTTTAGGCCCTTAATAGTTTCGCAGTCAATTAGCGTTAAGGGGCCAACTCCGTTAGAATCTTGATAGCTTCGGCTATATCTTTTTAGTTAAGATTAGTTAAGTTTTAATTCTTAGTTTCCTAAGTTCAAGCCCGAGTGTCGGCTCTATTCTACAACTCCAAGACGGAGTTCTGTTAAATCTTATTTGAATAATAAAGGGTCTTTTAACCCTTTCCAAGTTTAATTACTGTCTCACGAACTCAAGCGATTATTCGCTTACTAGTTCTTAAGATTCTTCGCATTCAACTGTAACTTAAAGCACACAATAGAGAAGCTTACATGCTAAAATAAATTAGCATGCATCTTTAGCTTATCTGATAGCTCTGTCTAGTGCAGAGGAAAATAAGCGCCATTCTGAATTCGGCTTGCAAGTCGATTTTTTAATTTTGGCTGAATTTCTGCAGCAAAATATTACCTCGTCGTTTATATTCGGAAGTACAAGATATTTAATAGTAAGAAAGAAATGAATTTCACATTAATGCGTTTTGAAACTTGAGTTTACTTGACGGGATTTTTAGGGGAAAAAAAGTAACCAAAAATTAACCGCATTTAAACTAAAATTTTCATTTAGCAGAATAACAAAATTATTATCACAAAACTTTTATTAAGTTACAATGAAATTTAATTCTATAATTATAAATACATAAATGAATTATAATATTAACTAATTATAAAATTACCATAAAATTTACTAAAAACTACTTCAAAAACTAGAAATTTTCAATGAGCAAAACTGAATGCTTTCTCCCTAGAGAGAAGATATTAACAGTTAATACTGACTTTTTATACACAAGCAGAATATGTCTAATTCAAAATATTGTATAAGCGAAAATTTTCAAATTACTTCGGAATTTTTCTTACAGTTTTACATACAGTCATGCCAGCAATAACTTCCTTTTCTAAAATCCTTAAATGGGTGAAGTAATTGCTACTTCTGCTTCTAAAATATTTTAAAACTTTATTCTATATTTCAAAATAACTAACATTATTTTATTCAAAAATCAAATGATAGCTGCTTAAAAAGCATTGCTTAGGTTATACTAATTACATGAATGTTTATACATTGTATATGTTATTGAAACAGAAATTTATTCCACTAAAAGCAACAAAAACGTTTCACTAGCTAGGCTGCCTTTCAAATGATACGATTTGACGCCATTATCGCTCTTTAAGGAATTGCTTTAACAAAATGGCACAAATTTCTGAATTTTAATTGCATACCAGTATTTCCATGTATCAAAATAACGTTTATCATTAATGCTCAAAATAATTTCTGTTTTTATTCTTTCTCTTCCTCGTAATTTCTGTTTCCACTGTATTATTGTGAATATATTTACGAAAAACTTAAATGGTTTTAAGATGTAATATATACATATATATATATATATATAGACAGATATATGTAAGAAAAATAAAGAATATGTAAAAGAATAAATTAGCAGCGTAAATTAATTTCCCTTCTCTATTCTAAAAATAGCAACATCTATTTGCACTGCGTTATTTCGAGAAAAATCGATGTCATATGACTCTTACGTAATTCTGGTGATGTAAACTCAACTAAAACTCAAGCAGCTAATAATATGTTTATACCAATATTATCCAATCAAAATGCTTTGTGAACCAAAACTAACTCGGTTTGACTTAAGATTTCATCCTGAACATAACGCACATTCTTTCCACGCTTCGGCCTAGCTAGACTGCTGCCTGTCTGCTGCTGCTTTCTTGATACAAAGTTATCATAAATGTAAGCCCTTTGCAACAGGTACATTTAATGTGCCGAATTGTGTGTTGCCGAAACATGTTGCTGAACTGAAGATGTAATCTCCTTCACCTCCAATTTCTTAGTCATTATGGATCAACACTTCTACGTCATCAAAATTTCTGCTCCTGAATATATTACATATATATGTAGTACATGAGCTTTTAACAGTTTTTGATATTGCGTAGATGGCTTGAGAAGACAGTAATGGCTGAGGGTGACGTCTCGATGAAGAAGATAACAAAACTGAATTGAAGAATCACCATTTTTATTTTTACATATCTCAAATTCTCTCTCTGGGAGACAAATTTACCTTTCAATCATTCAAAATTGAATAAAATAACTTCTTAAATACACAGATAGAGGGATACTAGGTCATTTCAGGCAGGAAAGCATAAGCTGCGCAGAGTTGTTTGCATAGCAGAGGTCAGGAAGAAAAAAGGAACATAGTTCCTCGCAGAGCCGTATTATACTACGTAGGTGCAGAAAGTATTCTAAGCTAATGATCAGTCAATATTAGTTTTAGTTACCTTTTTCAAGCAGTGTTATGTAATTTGGAATAATCTCTAATTTGAGAGAAGAGATGAATTTAGGGGGAGAGCACCAAATCTAAAATCGTTAATTTTGAGGTCGTCAATTATTTTTTTAAAGCAGCTATCATATTTCTCTATATCTTACATATATATATATATATATATATAATTATTATTATACTGTATCATTGCAAGTCTATTTAATAGTATTTATTTTTTAAATTTACCAACGATAAATCATTAGTATTTCATTTACAATAAAGGTAATAAGCACCGACAATGCACTTAAGTGACAAGCTAAAAATGTTCCATGAATAAGTTGCTTCCGCATCCTTTTGCCC